GAACGAGATGAACGAAGACCGGAGGAGGGGACGGAAAAACCCGCGTGACCGCGGGAACGAGTCCTGCGCGGCCTTCCGGCCGATTCAATTTCAAGTTGAACACATCGCTGAGCCTCTTTTCTCTGTCGAGGCTGCCGACGGGCCACGTTGCGAAGGTCGAACCCGACGTTAGTCTCTGCACATTCTCGACGACATGTCATTTCCTCTTCTTCCCGCAGAAACATGGGACCAGATCATCCACGATTTTTCCGCCGCCGACCTTGTCAAGTTCCGGGGAACAAGCAGGGCTCTATGCCGTTTGGCATCTCCTCGGGCGTTCGCGACCCTCCTCGCGACCAACACGCTAACAAGTGGCAGAAACCTTTACAACCTCATGAAGTCTCCCAATGTCGCGGCCTACGTGAAAAAAGTGATCTATCAGCACAGTACTGAATGGAGTGCGTACTTCTTCCTCTTCCTTGTTGTCCCCTTGTTGAACCGAAATTTCACCTGCCCTACTCAGCGAGTGACCACGCTAAGGTCAGGAAAGTCCTTGGATCTGCATTCCTTCTCCTAGGAGAACTCCCGTCTCTTCGCGATGTTGTTCTTCACTTCCGCCCCGAATACGTCGAAAGATACCATATCACCCACGAAATTCCCTCGCCCGACCTCCTCGTCCAATTGATGATCCTGTCCTCCATGGCAAATTCGTCTTTTGAGGCCTCGAATCTCCCCCGGTCACTTAAAATCACAGGTCTCATCGCGCGGCACGACCACATGTACCGAGCCGACGTTTTCAAAACCCTTGTCTCCCGTCTGACCTCGCTCTCGTTCACCACCCTCGCGGACGAAACCCGATTTTACGCCCACCTCCCAGTTGGAGAATTCTGGTGTAAGGATGTCTTGGCCATCATCCGACCCTCGGCATCCACCCTTCGGTCCTTGACGATCCACAGCAACCTACACGTGGGACGCCACCCCCCACTCAACCTCGACGAGTTGACCTTGCCGAACTTGAAGAACTTGAGCATCGGTAGGATCCACTTTTGCACGGAGTCCGGTGCGGAGGCGTTCGTGCTTCGACATCGGGACACGCTCACCTCCCTCGGGCTCGCCTACTGCTCGATCGCAAATCCCCGCGGACGGCTTTGGTCGCACGTATACGACACCCTTGCGCGCGAGCTCCACCGTCTGGTTAAGCTCGAAGTCTTGGCGCCTTTGGGCGCGCACACGTACCACGCGAGTACTGTTCAAGGCCCACTCGTGCCATTTGGCATGCCCACGGAAGCCCTAATCGAGGATCATGTCTCATTGGTGAAGTTCCACTCTGTCGTACGCGACCGCAAGTCAGGTGCGCGTTCCCGTCATCATTGCGACGCCGTTGAACTGACTGCAAATCGTACACGTCTAGCACTAAGACAGGCACCCACATAAAATTACATGCATCATCCGCCCAAATCGTCGATTTCAAGCAGATGGATGTAGGGATACTGTACTCTGCCAGAGTCCTAGTACCCCGTCGTCGTGCAGCCATTCCGGAGGGGATCTACATATACATCATCTTTCATACTCTATCCATAGTTGTTCATTATTATTCACATACACACCGAACTGAATAAGAAGGCTCCCAACTCTGCACGAGTTGGTAACAAGTCGGCAACGGGAGTCCCTTACGGAGCCTGCGTATGCACAAGCGCCCGAACCAATCAGCGCCGTGCAAGCGCGCTTGCATCTTCCCACCATCGCCGACAACGACCACGACAGCGACCACGACGTGCGCTCACTACCCATTCCCTTGTCCTCGACAGTGACACAGAGACCACCATGAACGGCGTCCGACGGTTTCTCGGCGGACCCTCGTCGTCCTCGTCCCCGCCCCAACTCCCACCTACAACTCCCCTCTCCTCCATCCCCCCGCTCAACTTTTCCTTCGGATCGGGTTCGGGCAGCCGCTCGCCGAGCCCCACGAAGCCCTACTCCGCCAACTCGGAGTACTCGACCGCCTCGAAGGACAGCGCGAGCCAGCCGCCGACCCCGGGGCTGTTCATACGTAAAGATCGCAAGCCGCCTCCGTCACACACGAACGGGCACGCGAACGGGGGCTCGGTGTCGAGGCCGGCGTCGGAGACGCTCTCGTCGCCTGTGGCGGGCCCCTCGTCCCCCAGGAAAATGAACGGGGATTTGGCGTCGTCGTCGAAGAGGGGATCTGCCAGTGGGTTCGCGAGCACCAGGGACGAGCTCCTCATGAGCTTGCTCTCGAGCGAGGCCGTTGTGGACAGTCGCGGATATGCGATCCTCAACTCGGAGGAGCTCGAGGATCTAAAGAAGGTGCGTTTCTTTCCGCTTCTGCGATGATACGTGGTAGATGGTCATTTCCGTTCCCGCCGCGGACGACGTCTCCGTGGTCGCACACTTTCGCCTCATCGTGTTCCTCGAAATCTCCTCTCGCTTTGTTTCCTGACGTCCACCTTGATCACCAGGAACACACCCTTCTCCTCTCCCGCCTCACAGCGGCCGAACGCACCCACACCCGCGAACTCAAAATGCGCGACGCCGCGCTCCACCTCGAAAAGCTCAACTCGTCGCCCTCCCCGGCCTCCTCCCGCGTCGCCAAGCGCTCGTCCGAGGCCGTGGACGCCGCGAACCGGCGCGTGGACGCGGCCCAGCGCGAGCTCTGGCGGCTGAAGGAGCGCGCGAACGACATCGGGCGGCGGATCGTCGAGCACCAGGCGGGCGTGCTGGGCATCGCGGTCAAGGAGCTCGAGCGGAAGACCGCGGGGTCGGTCGGGAGCGGGAGCACGACCGAGACGGACGCGGGCACGGGCACGGGGTGGAGCACGCCGAGCGGGGGGATGCTCAGCCCGACGTCGAGCGTGACGAGCATGAGCACGAACGCGCCCTCGCGGCGGTTCGACGGGCCGCACCTGTTCGCGGGCCACGAGGGCGCTCTCGTGCCGAAGCGTGCGCGGGCGCCGATGTCGCAGAAGGAGGTCGCGGAGCTGGAGGAGCGTCTGGCGGGCAAGGACCGGGAGCTGGAGGGGCTCAGGGCGGAGCTGGACACGTCGAGGGCGGAGGCGGAGCGGTGGGAGGCGGAGACGACGCGGTGGGAGAGGGAGCTCGCGATGGCGGACGAGGACAAGGAGCGCTGGGAGCAAGATCGAGCGGCGTACGAGGAGGAGAAGGAGCGGCTGGACGCGGACATGGACGAGCTCGAGGCGCGGGTGAAGACGCTGGAGGCCGAGAAGGGCGAGCTGGAGCGCGAGCGGGAGTCCTGGGAGCAGGAGCGGGAACGCTGGGAGCAGGAGCTCGGGATGGCGGCTGTCGGCAAGGGCGACTCGGACCAGCTTCAGCAGGAGCTGGCAGAAGAGCGGCGCGCGCGCGCCAAGGAGAAAAGCGCTTTCGAGGAGGAGCGGGCGCAGTGGGAAGAGGAGAAGAACGCGTGGACCGTCGAGCGGGCGAACATGGACATGGACCGCGAAGAGATCATGGAACGGGCCAGGGACGAAGTCGACGTCGCGCGCGAGCAACTTCGGGAACTCGTCCAGAGGCGCTCTGTCCCGCTTTTCTCCCGGGAGAATAGCCTGGCGACTTACGCGGACGCGCTGGACAAGGCGCTCGCTTCCTCAGCAGGATCGGCAGGTGCTGCAGAGGAGAAGAAGGCTTTGGAGGCCAAGCTTGCCCTCGAGGTGGAGAAGTCCGAGTCTCTGATATCTCAACTGGACGCTGCCCGTGCGGAGCTCAACGCGCTGGAGTCGAAGATCGAGGTATGCTGTACCGTGCTGCCACCTTGTCAGTCTAGCTTATCCGGCCTCCTTAGGACGGGTCCCTCGCGCCGTCGGAAAAGAACCCGTCCACGCCATTGGTATTCGCCACGGATGCCGAGAGGATCATCTCCCTCCTGCAACCGCTGTGGGCCAGTCTGCCCTCGCCCGAGTCCCGCGCCACCAAGTTCAGCGGTGCCACACGTCCCTTCCGCACCGGCTCGCCTGGCGTCACTCGCGGTCCAGCCAGCCCAAGCATCAGCGAGATGGACGTTCGCTCGCTCAAGGGCCTTTATTCACCGAAAGTACCATCCGCGTCCCCGGCGGCCTCCCCCGACGGGACCACCAAGGAGCGCCTGTTCAGCGTCGAGGCGTTCGCGACGCGGGTGCAGGCGCTCATCCAGGACGACCGGGCGTTGATCGAACGTCTCATCCGGTTCGCGCAGGCGCACGACTTGCTCAAGAAAAACGCGGAGCGTGCGCAGAAACTTGCCGGGGACAGCAACGGCGCGCTGCAGACGTACCAGAGGCAGGTGGAGGCGCTCGAGAAGCGGGACGCCGACCTCAAGGTTCAGCTCGCTACCTTGTAAGCGTGATGTCCTTCGCCTGTGGTAGCATGTTTCTGACGGTCATCGCAGGCAACAGGATGTTCGCCAGCAGGACGAGGTGCTGGAGCGCGTGCTTACGGAGAAGCAGGAGCTGGAGATGTCCGCGGCGGAGCAGGCAGAAACGCTCCGCGAGCTGACCGAGGCCAACGCGTCGCTGTCAGGGCGGGTGCTGGCGCTCGGGGAGGAGCTCGCGGTGGCGACGCGGGAGCGCGAGGAGATACGCGGGGCTGGGGAGACTCAGGAGGGGCAGCGCATCGCGCTGTTGGAGGAGCTCAACAACGTGCAGACGGAGAACGGAATGCTGCGGCAGCAGCTGCGCGCAATGGGGAAGAAATGACCTCTGCTGGTTTCTGCTTCCGCTCCTCGTCTCGCGCTCGGATCTATTTTGGCTCGCTGGTGTTTGGGATGCTCTGCGACTTGCTTTGTTGCTTGCCCTGTGTTTATGACCGCGCTCACATCTTATTTATCTGGATCAAATCTCTCCATCTCTCTCCCTCTTTTAGCACAATCTCTTGACCTCCCGCACTGTAGTATATCACATATATATAATGAACGATCAATAACGAATGTCAATGCCCCGAAACAACGCGCCAAGGATGGCGGGGATAACAGCCCCGCGTATGATGGTGTTCTCAAAAATATATCGCAGGAAGCCCTCGTTGTCTAATGGTTATGCCGTCAGACTTCTACGCTTGACGTGATCTGGAGGCTGTGGGTTCGAGTCCCACCGGGGGCTCTTCTTTTTGTTGCTCGATTCCACGATAGACTACGACTTCAGACTCATGACTCATGAGCGCATGAGCCTCTCGATTTTGAACCTATGATATAATCATATATTATATGGTCGTTTCTTAATTTGATAAGCCCGGTACACCTATACATCTTGATCTCTCTTCTGCTTGACGGACCTTTGTCGAGTCGCGAGTCCCGCCAGTGGCGGGTAGATGGAAGCGTGGGAAAGCAAAAAGTCGGCGGGTGTGTGCTTCCGACTCGACTCTGACATACTTATCTTCCTACCCTCCGTAAATATGGCTCGTTGTTGTCTCTCATCACCGTAGTCCGCCATCTTCCAGCATCAAGAATACGTGCCGCTTTTTGATGGAAGCGTAGCATCCGACGGCCCCTTCGTGTTGACCGAGACTGGGTGAAGAATCTCAAGCTTCCCCTCAGCAAAACCCCATCGGTGCGTCGTTTCTTGCTTTACCTATCGACTTGTCTGACTTCTGTCCTGTGAACCGCACAGATGAATCTCAGTTGACGCGTGCCGCGAACATATGGTCATCGTATCTCGAGCAAGCTCGACAGGGATCTCGTGGAAAGATGGAAGGGAGATATGGACGGTATCCTCATCTTCGTACGGTTTCCTCTCTTCCTTCTTCTCATAGACGTGTTGAGACTGACATCACGACAGGCTGGTCTTTTCTCTGCTGTTGTGACGACGTTTATCGTCGAGACTTCAGCTTGACAACACGCAAGTCTCCGCTGACCTCCGATCCTCGTACGAGTCGTGGCCGTCCTCGGAAACACATCCGCGGCCAACGTAGGCGCCACCGTACCCATCGGAGCATCCACATCCGTCGTCGTTTTGCTCTGAATCAACTGCCTCTGGATCAACTGCCTCCTCTTCTCCCTCACCTGCGCTCTGGCCGCCACGCTCGTCTAACCACGGTCGCGCTCTTACCTCCAGAGCACCGAGCGACATGCCTCTCTCAACCAACGCGCCCGCGTTCGGACGTATTTCTCCCGTGGTGTGGACATATTTGGCGCAGACGTTCTGGTGGGCTGCATGCCCCTCAGGCTCCTCCTTCATTTCGCCGTCCTTCTCTTCATTGTCGGCCTTGTAAAATCCGCATTTACGGTCCACAATGTCGTGGCCTACGTCAACCTGGCTGTGGCCATCCTCGCCGGTCTCGCATATGGACTCCTCACCTTCATCGCCGTGTTCGTGTAAGCATGTTCGTACAAAACCCCCCTTTCCGACATACTCCAGCGCGCCAAGACTGCCATCCGTGCAACGCTAGGAGGCAAGTCCGGCGGTGTCGGGGCTATGACGGAAGAAGCTCTGTTACAGAACAATCCCGCGAGTGGGCTCAAAATGGACAAGGATATTATCCAATGGACGATGGACGATGGACGCCTGGCCGAACGACCACGACCTCACGTCCGCGAACCTCGAGGCGCTCTTCGGCGCCCTTCCGGACGTGGTGCGACCTGTGCAGAAGAAGGGGCCGGGTCGAGGAGGCCACTGCCGTGGTGCAGACGCTGCTGTTCGACGGGGCGATGGTCGGGCACGAAGCTCCACGGGTGTTGCGGGTGTGCGCAGGGAGGGTCAAGTCCGGCCCCATCCCTCCCTGGCAAATGGCGCGGGCCGAGTCGTGCTTGCGCGTCCTGCTACTCCTCACTAGGCTCGCGGGGAGCTCGCAGCCATTGGACCCCTTCTGAACGGGGATCGTCGAGCGTTGGCTCTACCCCGCGCTCGAGGACGTGGTGCTGATATGGGAGTTTGGCCGCTTGGCGAAAGCGCCACGGGCATGCGGACCGCTGCGTGGAATTGCACGGCGCACCTCCTCGGCCTCGGGCTCCTCCTCCGTTGCTACCACGGACACCTGAAGACGGTCGAGACGAGTATAGCGGAGTCGTCGGCGGCATTCTCTCCCGCGACCCACGATGCCGTGCGCGAGCTCTTTCGCGTTCGCAATCGGCTCAACGTCGTCATCCCAGCCCTTCGTGACGAGCATCGTCGGGAACGGAAAGACCGTGAATATCCCCAAGGACAGCCCGTTGCAGATCATCGCGGATGAGCTCGTGGCGGACGCGGCGGACGACCCGAGCTTCAGGGACATCGACGACCTCAAGACGTTCGTGCAAACGTAGATGGTGCGCGTCAAGGACGGGTACTACATGTTCCACCTCACGATGTGCATCACGAGCCTCCGCGAGGCGATCCTATTTCCGAGTCAAAAGGCGGAGGAGGAGGACATGTTCGCGGTCGTGTCGGCGTCGCTTGATTGGGAGGAACATTCGAAGTACGACGGGGAGGAATCGTCGACGCGATGCATGCCATGTTCAATCTTCCCGATGACGAGCTCCTTGACGAGGGCGAAGGGGTCACTGGCGGGAATCCTGCGGAAGATAACCTTCATCATGCTGCCCCCCCTGTCCTTCCTTTCCTACCATCTCCCATAACATTCATGAAGTCAACGGGCAAGGCCGATGTCCGCGACTCATCCAGCCATGAGTCATGCATCCCCGACGGCGCGTTCGCATCTTCCGCCTCTGAGCCCTACTCCCTCTTCCCCATGGACAGTACCCGACCACATCGTCTCCTAGGCTCAAGCCGCAGGTCGCCACCGCTGGAGAGACTCCTCTGGAAGAGCAAGTTCATCAGACTTCTTCTCATGTCCTCGCATCATCGTCTACCAACTCGACGGCGAAGGCAAACATTCGTGACTCACCCAGCCACGAGCTCGAGCATCCCGACGCCATCGATCCATCGTTTCCTTCCTCAGAATCATCACCTTCTCATGGCCAGGACACCAGTGCTCCTTCCCCTAAGTATACTCGAGCCGCTGGTCATCACCGAAGAGCCCGTCGAGATTAGCGCGTTCGACGGACTTATTTAAGCAAGGGTCACCGTCAAGCCTTCCGTCACTTCCTCTCTCGTCGATGTCTTCCTCGTGCCCTGCTAAAACCACATCGGGGGAACAAGACATACCCGAAAGCACGCGTCCGCGCCGCTCCGCGCCGCTCCGCGTTTGGGAAGTTCAACGATAGCCACCCCGAGGCGACGGCGATGATCGTGCGGTGGAATATGGCGCTGTTTTGGCGGAGGGGGGGGGGTGGCGGGTGGCGGAGGTAGCGTGGAGTTGGGACTACTGGATGGTGGGGATGGCAGGGTGGAGGGAGGTGGGTCGACGGATCTGTCATCGCGAGTAGAGGGAGACTAGGAACAATTCGCTGTGGGGGTGCAGATGCGGGGAATGTGGGCCCGTGTGGTACAGAGCCTGGGTCGTCGTGCGGTCGTCATAGTCAACAACGAGGGGGAGCCCCTGGGAGCCTCTGGGGGAGCCCACAAGGGTTCGGGATCTGGATCGCGTTGGCGAGATGGCATGATCTAGTGTACGCTATCTCATCCGTTCATGTTCATTCAAATCTTCTGCTTGTGGTTACGCTTCTGCGGGTTGTGCCATCACTCTGTTCCTCGCCTTCTAGTCGAAGAGTGTCTTATCATATATCTTCTTTTTTGCGCCTGTCACTATGGTACAGTATTGAGTTGTATTTGTACCGGTGCCACTTGAGTGTCGCAGGTACGAAAGCGAGGGCCACAGTGGCGGGACAGGGATCCGAGTTGACGCGCGTCTCTTGTCTTCTCCAACTACCATGGCCCGCGAAGTCCAAACAGCCCGTACCAAGGATGCACCTCGATGGGAACGCGTCCATTCGCCGTCAATCACTCCAAACCCACTACGTCAGAAGGAAGAACCGAAAATCTCCCCGAGGATCAGGGATCTTCTCAGTGTCAGTGTGTCCTTTCCCGATCTTTGCGCATCGGGCTGATATTGTGACCCTTCTTTCTCCGACCGAGCTTCAAACGCGCCGAGAACGTGGGGTCTTCTCTTCTTTGGGCTTGCGAACAAAATTAGAAACAAGCTCAACGTCGAATGATAGAACTCGGAAGACATGAACGGGGTTCTGAGATTTGCGTTTGTGCATTTCACTTCTTCCTTTCCGAACGCGCGGCCTCAGATCCAGGTCCCGAGGGCCTCTGACGTCAGTCCAGCCTTCTTCCTGTGCCACCGCGACGGCCAACCTTAACTATATAAGCTCCTACAACCCGACAGCCCGCAACTGAATTACCTGCGGCGGACGTGTCCTATCATGGTCGCCTTCTGGCCTCCTCGAAACACATACCGCGGGTGATGGGGCCGTAAGTACTCCACCAATTGTTTTTTGGGCTGGTGATTTGTGGTAGACGCACTGACAGGCTGATCAGATAACGTCAAAGCGTAGTAGGAAGATGGATCTTGGTGTCTTAGGACCAAACCCTTAAACTGAAACTGGAGGCGGAGGCGCTCACGACGTGCCACATTTGCCTAGGCAATCACGGTGCGCGTTGTTTGAAACTGAATGTACGATCGACCCTCACCATCGCCTCGGCCAGTGATCCGGGCAGGAGACGTCTACTGATGTCTGCAGATATCCACGCCCTCGATAACCGTCTCGTTGTGTGGAACGGGCTGCTGTGCTTCTAACGAAGATCAATCGCTCAATGGTAGGCGCCACATGCCACTAAACGACGACTTCCTCCTCGTTCCCATTGCCCCAGTCTACTACTGCTAACAGCTTAAAGGGACTTCCGTGCCTAACCTTATAGACCCTTCCTGTACTATGTTTCGTACGCGCGGCGCAGATCGCATCGCGCACTGTCTTCTGGCCGCAGGAAATTCGGGAAAGGTTGCTGATGGATCCCCAGGCTTCTGCTGCCTCCAGTAGATTACCGAAGACTCGTGCGTCCCGTTGTTTTTCCGCCTCGAAATCAGGTACCTCCTGGAGGCACAAGTATCTTGTTTCCGTGAAATACTCGCCGGGTTTTCCAGGCTTCTCCGCTAGCAGCGCCGCCAGACCGAGCGTCGCCGCTCCCCTCGCCAGGATCGATTGTACTGCGCTTTGACTTGCGAAACCGCGCCACATGGAGGCGTCCGCGAAATTGGGATGGGAGATGAATAAGGCCCGCAC